CTTGGAGGAATCTGTTGTAGGCTGATCACATCTATCTTGTCAGCAGTTATATTCAGTAGTTGGTGAATCTCTACCACATTCTGTTGGAGGTTTTCGACAACCCCTCAACCATCAATAAATGATTGGTTGCATATCATGGAGAGAGGACGAGTGTTGATTTCGTCGGAAAGGAAAGTTCTCCCGAAGAACCTTTCTTGCCCGCCATTCTTTGAGCCTAAGAAAGAAAGAGCTCTGATACCAATTGGTGTAGACCAATTAAAGAAAAAAATGGAATTCTTATTGAAAAACGTCCCCAAATATAGAGATTAGCCTCCTTTATATAGGGAGGACTCAAACAGCTTTAAAACAAACAAGCTGGAAAACTAAACCAACTGAACAACGAACGCCTAACTAACTAAACACAGCTATGGATTACATCACGATCCTATAATTTATGAGTGGGAGAGAGCATAAAGTTAGAAGAAAAATGTATAAAAGAAAACAAATATAGCCATTCAAACTCAATCAAATTCAATATCACTTCATCCTTTTCAATTCATTGCATTCACAACAACAAAAAAAAAAAAAACTAAAAAATGAGAATCGCAAAAATTGAAATATCCCATTTTGTGGCGCTCTTTTTTTCTAACTTTTCATTTTCTTAAAACAATATTATTTGATAATCAATTCAAATAATGTTCGATTCCCGACCTTATTCTTGCATCGATTAAAAGGAACAAAATTTATAATACGTTTGGTCGGTAATATAAAAACAAAAATATGACAAGAATGATGCAACGAATATTTGCTTTACAACATATTTAAAAATCGTTCTTGGTGTATTTTGTAATATATTTGTAAATTAGCGATTGTTACAATTAAATATTTAGTTCAACATAAAATATTATTCATTAATTTGTTAACCTATATATTATAAATTTTGTATAATTAATAATTTACCATGTTATATAATTCTTAATATGTTATGTTTAACCTGGTTAAATAATTTAAACAAATAAAGTGAGTTTATAATATTAAATAGTATATTTATCAAAGTTTTTATGTTTTTAATTCTTTTTAATGTAATTCTAGTTTAAAATTAAAAAATATTAGTTATGAAAATTTTTATTTTTTGATTACATAATTATTTGAATAACAGATTTACCTCTGCATGTTTACCGAATCAATTTGATTAAATTAATCTAGAAAGCAGAGTTTGGATTACCTACAAAAACAAGTTTTGACCGGACATCATTTCCAAAGTGAACAAATATCTTGCACATCCTTTGCTTTTTTATTAAGCAATTAAAATCGGTAAGATGTTAATTGATTAAATACGACTTTGATCTGTAAAAAAATCAGGATATGTTCTCAAATTGAATCATGCCAACATTATGGGAGTTCATAAATAATGTGAAATAAGAGTCGTATCCAATGTTTGAATTTCGACGTTGATAGATATTTCGAGAAAAATCACATAAATTATGAAAATTTGATGAAAATTTGTTTGAAGTAGTAAATGAAACATTAATTGTATCTTAATTAGACTAAAATTTATCACTTTTCACCATCATGTAAAATATCAGTAACTTATTTGTGGAAATATCGATATCAATGGATGAAAATTATTTGAGTGAGTAAATTAAAGTTCAATTATGTTTTATCGATAATTTACATTATTTGGTTATATAAGTGAACAATATATTAAATATCAATATAATATAGAAGGAAATAATAACATAAATTTTGAAATATAAGATTTTATTATATAGATACATGGACTTTTACTCTACCGTTAAAAACTAACAATTTGATGATGTGGCGTTGACTAATAGTCCAAGTGGCAAATTTAATTGCCAAATAAGGTGGTTGCTAGTTCGTGAGTAAGGGTGAGAACGATGAACTTCGAGAATTATCGGAGAACTTTTCTGGGAAGCTCCGATCAAACTCGAAGAGTAGAGACAAGTGATCCTCATCTCCCCGCTCGAGAAACCCCTCTGTCTCTTTCATCTCTTAATTTCTCCACTCCCCTCTCAAACCCTTAGCCCCCTCTTCTCTTTCTACATTCTGAATCTCATATATTAAAGGGATTTTTCTGCAAAATCAAGCTCATATTTAATGGATTTTGATTCTTCCATTACAGGAGAGTAATTTTGTGGCATAGATCTCACACCCATAACACTTCCTTCCCATCTCACACTCAGAATATTTCCTTCCCATGTCTGATACGCATTGCCACCGCTGGTAATACAGAGAGAGTAATAGATTCGACTTGGAGACGACTTCGATTTCGTTGACAAAGGCATAAGAATTCAGAGATGTCCACTTTTGGACTTTCTGAAGTTTTTTACGGGAGTCGAGTTTCCAGCGTGTACGGTGAAAGTTTCGGGTAAGAACCTCCAGCGTGTACGGTGAAAGTTTCGGGTAAGAACCATAAACATCCGTCGACATGTCGACATTTCTATCGACATATCCACGTTTTCATGGATCGACATATACATGAGGGATGAATCGACATTTCTTTCATAATTATGAAAACAAATCAACAAAATGTCACCAATATATATATATTATTAATATTAATTGTTTTTAACTCATTTACAAATAGGAAAATGTTTATTTGTTAATTTAAATATTTTTTTACGATTTTTTTGATATTTCTTTTACAGAAATATCCATCGACATCGACATTTTATCGATATTTTCATGAAATTGAAACTTCGATATTTCCATTTAAAACCTCGGTAAGAACTAAGAAGTAGGGGCGGAGAAATTAGGGACTGACGGTGACCGGAAGAGAGTAGGTGAAGGGGGAGTGAGATAGGCGGACGACTCTGTAGAGGACGTTGTTGACGGCGTGTGGTGACGGATGGGTTTCTTGTCGACAAGGTAGATTAACAGTGCCACATTATCATATTAGTTCCACGTAGGCAATCCTCTTAGTCCATCCACATCATTAATGTGTTAGTTTTAACTGTAGATTAACAACAATGACGGAAATGAATAATTTTCTAAAGTACAAGGACTAAAATAAGAATTGAAATGAACATTTTCAAACTATATGGACTAAAATGAATTACACTTGAAAGTACAAGGATCAAGAGAATATTTAATTATCACGAATGACAAGAGTGTTTGGACCAAATGATTTACACATGTTGCAAGAGTTTATAAAAGAACATCTCATCCCTCCCTACCTCTCTCCTAATTGTAAAAAATTAAGTGGTGATCAGTACTAAAATATTATTTTATATATAGTGCACTCRAGTCTAGTGTTGTTCGCTTTGAAATATTTTTCCCTTGAAATTATATTTTCTTAAATATTTATGTATTCGTCTCATCATTATCTTGCAAATGTGAATAGTAACACGATGGATAAGATGCCTATTAATATTATTATTTCAAAAGTCAATGTTTTGATTCTCTAACGTGCATGCTTCCCCCTAATATTTTATAAATATTTAGAAACTGGTAGAGTTTTTTAAATTAAACAACATGTGGGGTGAAGGTTTAAATCTCGATATTTTTATAAAAAATATACGTATTAGAGTTAACTATGGTCTGTCAACCATACTCTTGGTAGTTAGACAGTTTGTTATTTATAAAATGATCTTGATTGTATTTATATAAGATACAATATATTGTATTTATGTAGGGCGACAAAATTATTTATTAATAAAATTTATTCCCTCGATTATTATTTTACGTATAAATATATACTTTAATCAATTGAGATATGCTTAGATTAACGGTAATTGAAAAAAAATTAAAACTATACTTACAAAACAAAAGCCTACATTTGTCCAAATTTGGTTTTGGGGTTTTGGCAAAGTGAAAAAGTAGGCATAACCCCAACCTAGCTCTAGGATCTACCACATAATTAATACATTTACTTTTTTGTTTGGGCATTTTTTTTTTGTACTTATTTAATTTTGATGAGTCAATTTGTTGCAAATATCAAAATTGGACTTTTACTATAAAAAAAAAAAAAGAAAAAAAAGAAAAAAAAGAAGAAGAAAGTGTAGAATGTAAGTCACAACCAAAGTTACTCCCCTGTGAATCATTGAATATAATTATAAATTTTTTATTTTTTCAATAAGAAAGCAATATCGTCCTGTAAAATCAAAGAAATCTAAAAGTTACAAAAATATGGACATGTATCCCACGTATGATATTATATGTAAATATATTTTTAATGTTTTGAAAAAAAAAGTATACAGATAAAAAAAATCCAGTAAATCCATAGAAATCCTTATAGATTTTATAATAAATAAAAGATTATTATTATTATTTTAGTTATAGATCTAACTAATGGAATCAAAATTACCCATAAACTTTTTATATACTTAACTATAAACTTAAATAAAATATCATAAAATTATACTAATAAAATATACATATAAAAAAATCTAGTTATCTGAATGTCCAAATTCAACTGTGAAAATACATGAAATGACACAAAATCAAACCGTCAGATATGTCCAAAATCAATATCAAAACATTAAAATTTAACTGTGGAAAAGATGTCCAAAATCAAACTAAACTATCCAAATACAATGAGAATCACACCATCAAATAAGGATACCTAGCACCCAAGGTATAATTTTGTAAATAAGTCACAAATCTCTGGAAAAGTAAATTCTCAAAAAAATTTCCTTTAATTTAATCATGAAATAAAAAATTTAAAGATGATTTCATTATCCAAATTAAACAATTAAACACAATAAATATTTGATTTACTCCTCTCTTTGAAATGTTTGTTCGTTTTTTTAATTATTTTTTTTCGGTCTATGGAGATAACTGTACTAAACTCGAAAAATGTACCCCCCACCAACACCGATGTGCCACGTGTCGGACTCTCTTTGGTCACATATTTTAATTTTGATAATTATTTATTTGCTTCAACGAAAAGGGAAAAAAAAAGAAAAAAAACGCTACTATGAAGTATGAACACAAATTTATTAAAAAAAGAAATTAAAAAGGGAAAAAAAAGGTCCCAACGCTCTCTTTCCTCTTTCTTATCTCTCTCTCTCTTTCTCTCTCATCTGTCTGTGTTCGTCTTCATCTCACTCTCTGACATAATTTCTCACCGCCGATTTGCCGGAACCCTAATTTTGATACTCGGAGAAGCCGAAGCTCTCTGTCTCTGCTCTTGTTCAATCTATTGGCTCTCTCGTTGAATGCAGCTAGGGTTTGCGGGTTCTATTCCGTTTGAGGTGCTACTGCGGCGACTGCTTAATTTGTTGCTAGGCTAGGGTTTTTGTTTGAAGCAGTAGATGACTGTGAGACAAGGGAACAGCTGAGATCAAACGGGTTGGTTTTCATCACCGGATGGAGGGAGGTAGCGTCTCTAGACTTACTTCTGGTACTGTTCATTTCCTTTTTTTGTTCCACATCTTTTTCTGGGCTTGTACATCGTATGGTTTTTGTTACGATTACTTAGAGTGAGTATTTCTTCCAGTCTGGTTTGGAACGATGAGCTGTGCTCTCCTTGTATGTTCGGAAGGCTAGAATTTTAATGAACTTCTTGAGGGTGCTCTTCGAAGTAGTACTGAGATCAGTTTTCATTAATTGTTAACTCTCTGCTGGGGGTTTTTGATACAGGCTGAATGCCAATGTCCTAGAATATTGGATTCGTGTCCTGCGACTATGTGTATATGGGGGATTCTTTTCTGTTGTTGTTGTTGGGGGGCAGACCGATTTGTTTTTTCCAGTAACTTTTCTCCGATAGTATCTGGCCTATTAATACGTCTACTCAGTATGTTGACTGCGTCCCGTGTGTTACAACTTACATCAACGGACAAGTTTAGAGAATGGACACCTAGATGTTTTTTGCAGATGCTGTTGTTGGAGATTCTTTCTATGTAATAAGTATTGGAATTGTTGACATTGGTTACGACTCAATCCTCAAGCTAATCTTCTTTGGGTAAATGGATTTAAATCTATCATTTCAGAATTATGGTTTGAAAGAAATCAAATAGTCTTCAAAGGAATTTATCAGTCTCATTTGGAGTGCTTGATATTGCCAAGTTCAAAGCCTCGCAATGGTGTGCTCTCTCTGATCTCTTTGATAGTCATTCACCTAGTATGATTTGTATGAATTGGGAGACTATTGTAACTTCTAGTTAGTTTAGTTTTCGGTTTTTTTGTCCTTTTTTTCATATTTTTCCTTTTATTTTTCTTTTCACTCATTTCGGAGTTTGTATCTTTGAACAATTTTGTTCTTTTTTCATCCATCAATGAAAAGTTAGTATCTTGTAAAGAAAAAAAAAACTAGATGACGAAGAGGAAAACAAGGAAGTCTTTTTCCTTGTAAGGTGATGAAGGTGAGATGTATTTGCTCAAAGGATACTTATAACTCCAAGCATATAGAATCCTTCTCATCGCTATAACATATTATGAGGTACACTGTTAACAAATAGGGTTTTTTAAGTGATTATTGGCAGTAGGAGTAATGAAAATATAGTCTCCTCTACTCTAGTCAAATCGACCAATCTGTCCCTTGCTAGTCATCCTACTACTTACAAGATGTCACGAATCAAGAAAGGGTGGAAAGTTAGAAACCTTGCCGAGCATAGATAGATATAGAAAAATGGACAGTCCTTTATCCGATCTCGTAAAGTGGGTTACACTATGTAGAGTCCATTTGACACAATTTGTATATGTTAGTGTTACTGTGTAAGAAGCACTGAAGCTAGCATACAATCAGCTTGGACCAATATTGGTCGAACTCACGACCAATTATGCCTTGAGGAAGAGGCTTGGGGGTTTATTATGCTGAAAAATTATTGACCATACCGAAGCCTAAATCCTATGTGTCTTCTTCTTTTTTTCTTCTTTTTGTTGGCTATTTATGGAGAGTCAAATTCTTCATTCCTTACGGAAAATTTAGGGCCTAAAATTTTTAATTTTAAAATAGATTTTTTCCCTTCAAGTTGATTTAACTAGTTCGGCTTATTTTGTTGTTGATTTAGATATGTGTTTTTGAAAATAAAGAAAACAAGTTGAAACAATATTTTGTTCATTTTACTTTCCATTTTTAAAATGTATTTTGGTAGTAGTTTCATATTTATCACTGGTTCGTAATTTATGGATATGTTTGGTAATGTATTTTAAAATAGATATCAGTCAAAGTCACTGCATTGTAAAGTATTTGGAAACTATTTTTGCAATGAGATTACTTTACATAAGCAAAATGAGGGTGGAAGTTACCTTTTAACGTTTATTTCTAATGGTGGTGTCAAGAGATGTATTGGGATCTAAAAAGGGCTAACAAGGGTGTATGGAGTGTTTTTTGGGGAGCCGTTGGGAGATTTCAAGAGGAAATTGGATGAGGGGAAGTGTTAGAATGGGAGAATTCGGGTAGAAATGTTTTTTGTCTTGGGGGAAGAAGAGAAATCTTTTGTACAAATCATGATAGGGAATTTTATTGGAAATGTTGGTGGAAGGGGAAAAAATTTAGTGGGGAGGAAAATTTCATGGGAAGGAAAATTGATGTTACATGGGTGGAAGTTAGTTGAAAAGGGTGGAATATGTCTGGGTATAGGTTAGACCGTGGAGTTGGGGGTGGAATTGTGAGTTTAAAGACAAGACTGATGGGGTTGGGATTTATAGTGTTGCTAATTCGAAAGGGAATCTTGTTAACCAATGTTGGTCTGAAGCCTCAGAAGGTTGGTTGGGATTTACAGTTAAGAAGGAACCTCTTTTGGTATTCTTCATGCCAGGTGGAAAAGGGTTGCCGTTTGACATTCGTTTGCATTTAATTACTGGGAAGTGCCTTTGGGAGGAAATTACATAAAAGTGTCTGTTTGGGATTATATTGTGGATAAGTTCAAGGCTAAGCTTGAAAACTGGAGAAACCTTATACTCTCAAAAGGGGGATAGCTTACTTTGTCTCTTTCAATTTTTAATAGCATTCCTCTTTATGCTTTCGCAATTTTCAAAATTTCAAACAAAGTTGTTATGGAAATGGAGATGATTGTCAGGAAGTTTTTGTGGAATGGGAATGGTTGTCACCCCAGTGGCATTTGGTGAGTTGGGATCGTGCATCTTTGACAAAGGTTTACTGTGAGTTAGGTCTGGGTGCCTACAAGCATAGGAATAATGCCCTTCTTAAAAAATGGCTGCAGAGGTTTTGAGAGGAAAATCCCTTGTGGAAGCATGTGATCTCGAGTATCTATGGTAGTGATTCTCAATGCCGGTTCAAAATGGGTGTAGAATCAAATTTTGGAAGGATACTTGGTTTGGAGACACCCCTTTTGAAGGCAAATTTCTAGATTTGTATAGAATCTCAACTAAGAAAGAAAGTATTGTGTCAGAGTGCTGGAATAATGAGCGAAGTGATAGGAATTTGGGTTTTAGAAGAGGAATTTTGTACACAGAGCTGAACAGTTGGGTGCGACTGGTGGATTTGTTGAATTCCTTTTAATGGGGATTGGGGGAAGACAAGGTCGAGTGGGCTTTGTAAGGTGAGAAACATTTTACCTTAAGAAGCACGGACACGGACACGCAACACGGATACGACATGGACACGGACGCGGCGACAAGTCAATTTTCAAAAAAGTAGGACACGACATGTTGGGGATACGTTAATTTTTTTATATGATTTTTAATTAATATTTAAATGAAAATTATATATATATATATATATATATATATATATATATATATATAATATAATATAAAAGAAAACCAAACTCTAGCCCTAAATTTTCTCTCATAATAAAGAAGACCTAATTTTCATCTTTGATTCCCTCTCCCCACTTAATAATCTAGCCCTAGTTTTTATCTCTTTCATCACATTCCGCTACCTCCTACTTCTTCTTTTTCTCGCTTCCTCTCCTCCTTCTCCTTTCTCAACGTCACCGCCTCTTCTTCCTTCTCCTTTATCTTCTTCTTTGTTCACCTATCTTTTATAAGTTTGGGGGAGTACGTGACTTTTGGGTTAATTTTTATTTGGTTTCTAGAGAAGGAAGAAGACCTCCAGCTTGGTCGTCGATTGATGAGGAAGAATTAAGAAAACTAGGTAAGAAGAAATAAGAAAACTAGGTAAAGGGGAAAAAAGAGAATCTGGAAGTGGGAGGAGAAAGATCGGAAAGAAAAAAAGGACGTCCTGTGTCCTAGACGTGTCCCGAGCATGTTAGGTTTTTTAAAATAAAAAAATAAATTTGGACACATGTCCAACATGTGTCCGACACCGACATTTCTTCATTTTTAGCATGTTTGTGCCACCTAGGTTTTACCACTAAATCCACTTTCCTCAAGTTAACGAAGTTGCCCCTTCTCTAAACTCCCATGTAAGGTGTTGGAGCACTTGCCTCTGTCGTGTTCATGCTTGTCCAAGGCATTAGGGGTGTTCACGGTTAGGTTGGGTTGGGTTAGGGGTATTTTTGTAACCAACCCAAAAATTTGGACGGGCCATATATGGGAATTGACGGGCCTAAAATCGATGGCCAACCCAACCTAAAATTTTCGAGTTGGGTTGGGTTGGGTTGTCGGGTTGCATTAATTTTTTTTTTTTTTTTTTTACCTGGATTGAAAAAAATTATATAAAAACATTCTATGCTCAACCCAAGTAGCCGAGAAAGACAGAAAAAAAAAAGAAACAGAACCCAAAATTGGTAATGTAGAGAAACAAAAGAGAACACCCGAAAATGGGAGAGAAGAAGGAATTGAAGTGCAGCACCTGAAGAATTTGACGAACACAAGCAGCGATGGGAGCTGTTGCGAAGGTGGGCGGCGATGGGAGCTACTGCAATAGAGGTCAACGGTGGGAAGCTTGAGTGAGAGAAGAAAATGGAGAAGAGAAAAACTTAAGTGAAAGTGAGAGATTCAAAATGAAGAAGATGAGAAAACCCTAACCTAATTATTAAATGAAGGTTTAGGATTAAAACTCAATGGATAGTTGAGATTGCAGATAAAAAATTATTATATATTTATAATTAAAAAAACATATAAAGGTATTATTTGGGTCGGGCCGGGTTGACCCGAAATTTTTAAAGTTGAACCTGTAAATTTTGCTACCCAACTCGAACCGAGGGTTAATTGAACCCAACCAAGTGTTGAGTTGGGTTCATCGAGTTCGTTGGGTTGTCGGATTTTTTGAACATCCCTACAAGGCATGTTACCTGTGGTGAGTGACTCCTCGCCACTTTTCATGTTCATGTTGCCATAGGCAAAATGCTCCAAAATGTACCATAGGGGTATGCCTAGTCACCTTTCTCCAAAGAGTTGTATTATTGACTTGCCGCTATCTATTCTCTTGCATTCAAGTTATACAAAAAGCTTTTCAAAATGCTTTCAAACGTTTTCCAAAACCTTTTTCTCTAACCTCATTTTTCAAAACCATTTTTCCGAGAACGGGGTGGAGGTTGCAACGTATAGTCGTTGTGTCACTGGCTATCCGATTTTTAGTTGGCTAACTTGCTTGAGGGCAGAAGCAAGTACCGCACAATTGCTAAGCAAGTCTTGAGAAATTGCAATTGTGACGTTGGACACCCTTGATGGGCTTTTTAAAACACTAGTTGCTGTGTTCCTAATTTCTCTTACCATCTACACAAACATGGGTATCGAGAGTGATATGTGGATTAAAGTGTAATACAAATAATTTTATACATTCCTTTTCTTTTTGGTGGTAGTTCAATTAAGTTTTTTTTTTCTCTCTCTTTCCTTTCCTTTTATTGATATGATTGTGAAGTGATTTCATTGCTTAGATAAATAAGTCCAACCGCAAGACAAAGGACTTTTTATAATATTATAAGTTTAATATTGCGCCTGTATTTTACTCCCTTTGAATGATTCTTAGTGCAAATATGTAGATTTTGAAAGTCCCATCTCCTTGTTGAACTCTTAATAACTACCTTTTTTTTTTCCTTTTACTGATATTTTTAAAGCAGAGATAAACCCATGGATTATGACGACAATGACTTTCAAAGCCAGAATCTTCATTTAGCTGGTGAAGGAAGCGCCAAATTCCCTCCTGTTCTTCGACAATATGGTCTTCCGAAGTTTGATTTTGATGACACCCTTCAGGGGCATGTAAGATTTGATAGCTTGGTTGAAACTGAGGTGTTTTTAGGTATTGAGAATAACGAAGATAATCAGTGGATTGAAGATTATTCTCGTGGAAGTAGTGGGATAGGGTTTAGTTCTTGTGCAGCAGAATCTTGTTCTATATTGAGACGGAAAAATGTTTGGTCTGAGGCCACTTCCTCTGAATCTGTTGAAATGTTATTGAAATCCGTTGGGCAGGAAGATATCAATTTGGCACCATCTGTTACTGGGGAGTCAAATGCTCGTGATAAATTGGATTACTTAACAAAGCCAATGGATCCTACTTTAAAAGACGATGGTAGTAGTTTCTGTGAAATTGGGGATTTACAGCCCACATTGCTACCAGATATAAGTTTTGAGGAATTGCATGTTGTTAATCAGGATATAAGAGGGGAGCAACAACAGCCGCAGAGGGATGGTTCTATTGAATTTCAAGAGGTTCGGTCTGTTGATGGAAGTTTAAGTGAGGTTGATCCTAGTGTTGTCCATGAACTTGTTGACGTGCCTGCAAGTGAGGGAACTGCAGCTATTGATGAAAATAGTAAGCAAACCAGTCCAAGTACAACTGATACTTCTGTTGCCATATCCTTCGAAGACAAAGGGCAAGATGATTTTTCTGCTTCAGGGAAGCATATAGATGATTTGGCTACTTGCACGCAAACAGGCAGTGAAAAGTTGAGCAATCAAAAAATTCAACACCAAATAAATGATTTATGTGATAATCCTGAAAATACACAGACAGGCAATACTGAACATGTGGTCAATTCAGATGAGTTGAGTAAAGAAGACCAAAACCGTCTTTTATCACCTTCAGATGCAGGAAAAATATTGGTTGTTGATTCTAGTATTGCTAATTTGCAGTCCCAAGCAAGTATGGTGTTGCAGGGGGATTGTGTTTTCCATTCAGGTAGTGGAGAGGTCAGGTCGGAAGTTCCTGGTGAAACTGGTAAGTTTGATGATAAGGTCTTATGTACTGGTGCGGAGATTGGGAATCCGTCTAATGCGAGCATGCAGGAGGTATTGCCTACAGTTGTTGAAGGTGATGCTGGAACTGCAGCCTGCACAGGTGAGGTGAAAAACATTAATGATGAAGTTTGTGCCTTTCAAGGGCCTAAGATGGATTCAAATGAGCAGATGGCTTATACTCAGAAAGTAATTGTTGAGGAGCAGCCATGTTTTCCCTTGGCCATTGAGTTACAGAATAGTAAATCCGAGTCTTCTGCATCTGCCATGCAGGAAAGTAATGTCTCTAAGGTGGGTGAAAACATTAGAGAAATTCCTGATAAATTTCCAGAGAAAACACATGATATTAGCAGTTCAAGAGATGTTCATGACTGCGCACTTCCCACAGAAACCTTGTATTCTGAAAGACATATGCCATCTACCACTTTGGCTGAATCAACACAATTATGTGAGGAAAATAAACTGTGCCAGCCAAGCGATGTCCATGCTGAACATGCTTCTGTCACTGACAAGGAAGAAGGAAGATTGTATTCTGATTCAATTAGTGTGAATGGCAAGACTGCTGAGTCTCCTGTCACAGATAAGAGAATTGTATCCCCATCTTTTAAAGAAAGTGGTGTAGAAAGTGAAATGATAGATACAAAATTAGAGTACAATGCTAATGCTGGTGTTGAATCAGGTATGTTATAAACATACATAATTTTGGAGGATGTTCAAAAGGTCATATATGTATATTGAGCTAGTTTTTTTCTCTCTCCTTTTTCATATGGTTGCAGCATCAGTTTCTACCTTTGCAGATACTACTGAGGCAATACGTGATACATCAGTTTCTACCTTTGAGGATGACGATGTGGGAACATGTGGCACATTACTGGGCGACTCATTACCTCTACTTGAAACTTTGAAAGACAGCAAAGATGCAAATGACAAAGAGGACCAGTTGCCACCGGCTGTAGTGGAGTTTACTCAATCAGATAGAAAAGAAGAAAGTGTTGTGATAATTCCTGCTGAAGGAAGTTTTCCTCTGTTGGATACTTCTCAACCTGTGGCTGAGTTTCATCCTCTTCCTCAAGCTGAGAAATCTGCTTGTATCATTACTGGACAGGGACTAGGTGAAAGTGTTGATCAGTCTATTTCAAAGAATTTGAATACAGATGATTGTAACACAGAAAGCCAATATGTACCTCAAGCAGACATTGCTAATGATGTGATCCAGGACTGCAGACAAGAAATGGATATTGATCCCACTTTTTTGAAGTCAGCCGCAAAAGCATGTGATAGGGGTGTCAAAAAGTCAGGTGCGCCAGTTTAGATTTATGGTTTAGTTAAAAGTTTTCAAGTTTCCATATGAAATTAAATGTGTATATTTCTTTATTACTAACTGAAGTAAATTTAATTTTTTTCCTTTAATTTTTTTCTACCCAAGTCTTACTATATTTTGTATTGAAGGAGAGAATGGGATTGTATTTCGCACCACATGTTCTTCTTTCATTGATACAAAACCCCGGGGGGGGGGGTACAATAATCTGCAGAAGTTTCCAGTAATCCTAATCTTAGTTTGTTTTCTTCTGTGTTGCATTGTGTATTTGATAAAGTAGAACTCATATCTTGAGAACCTAATTTTGATTAAATTGTAACTGCTTCCGTGTTAAGTTAGGTTTGTTTTCTTTAAATACTGTTACTTTTCCTATATTTCAGCGGAGTTTTTTTTTTGGGTGTTAAGGCTTGTGAACTCTAGTCTAAAACCCTGGACGGATTCCTATGATGCTGTATTGCATTCTGCAACTTTATTTGAATAGTTTTCTCTCTGTTGTTATTTCTCTTTGTAGATGGTGCCAGGAATCTGATTTCCAGATTTCAACTGCCACAATTTAATAAATCAAACACAAGAGACATGCGCTAAAAATGTTATCATGTGATTCCTATGTAACTTAGCCTCCGTGCATCCCATTTGATGTCAATTTTCATTATGGATAATTACAAACCAATGATGCCCTTGCTTCTGCAACAACGATTTCAATTCACTTGTAGAATATTGCTAATTGTGTTGCCAGTTATCTGATTTACCTTCTGTTTAGAATCCTTTATTGCATGACATTTGAATTTATTAATCGTGTTGCTTTGGATCACTTAACTTGCATAATTATCTCAGTGGATCTTTTCCATGTTTCTAACGATCAAGTTAAATGATTTTTTTTCTTCAGATGAAAATATTCCTGACTCGTCTTTAACTCCACTGTTAGGAGAAGCACACGATTCTTATAAGAAAGATAAGGAAAATACTGAAGTTGTTTCAGAATCTGTGGGAATTAATTGTCAGCAGGCTATTAAAGCGAACACTGACAGTGAGTAACCAAATTATACTTCTAGATGCATGTGAAGTAATCGGTTATGACCAATTATTCGGTTTTGTTGGTTCTTGATGTTTGAATGTTGAGTTTGCTTAACATTTTGTGGTAAATTTCCTGTTTCAGCTAGCACATTCTGCTTGTGGCTGTTGATTTTCGGTTGATTTGTGAAACTTATTTATCAATATTGTCCTCTGGTCCATTCATTAATAGATTGTTGTAATAGGCTGTAAAAGTTGATTTCATTCTTCCCATTAGAAACTAGATAAACGGATATGTTGCGGCATGTCTTGTTTTCTTTGATTCTAGACTCGAGTTCACAATATCATACTCATCCCTATCCATTTTTCTTATTCATCAAGAGTTATCTCTAAGATGTTCTATTATATCATCCTCTCTAATACACCTAGGAGAAGACTTTTTAAGAGAGGGAGGAGTGTGTTAGAGAGAAAAAATGAGACCTTATTAGAGAGGAGAGAGAGAGAGTCTTTTAAAGAGAGGGGTTTGGTATAGAGTGTGATGAATTATTTTAGAGGAGAGACTTTTCTGTCTCATCATATATAGACCAAAGAACCTACTTTTTACACTTATGCAAGTTCGAGGGTTTAATTTTTAAAATTAAAAGTCCGTAGGTGTAGTTATAACAATCATGTGGAGTGATTTGTGCCATATGAACTTTTAGATATAACTGTGACAAGCAACCATCAAACTTTCTCACACTTTCTGTTCCTTTGGTGACTGCAGCCAGCGTGGTAAACAACACTCAATTCTTCACTAGCTACCATTGTCGACACAAACCAATCTAGAAACAAGTGCTGAACAAGATGTTGCTCAATCAATCAATTAACAATTTTTTAATTATTAAATTTTAAATAAGCTTTTCAGAGTTAATATTATAATATTAAATTTTCTTGAATTTAAAGTTTTGGGGATAATTCCTAAAATATAAATTTTCAGGGTTTACTTTTAACAAATGCTATTGTTGGAGGGTTTAATTATAACAACTATTATAATTCATGGGTGGTTTCTTCATTTTTTTCTAATAGGGCTTAATTGCTATGATTTTTTGTCAGAAAAAAAAGCTATGATTTCATAGTTTTAAGGGTAATTACTCAAATTTAAAGTTTGGAGTGTGATTGTAACAACCCCTTATACTACAGTCAGGGGATGGTTATTTATTTATTTATTATTATTATTATTATTTTTATATACAAAAGAAGAAACTTCCAATTAGTAGTTATTATACTGTCTCATAAAAAAAAAGTAGTTATTAT